AGTGGCTGGAATAGTCTAGGCCCTGTTTTATGAGTTATTTTCGCATCTTTTCACTGTTTTTTTGTGTAACTACCAAGTACTATTATATAGTCAGAATGGCCCCATACCGTGATATATTTTATTATTATTTATAGCGTTGGTGATATAAAATCCTCGATACTTTTTATACTCCCACATGATATTACAAATATAATGGCGTCATTTATGTCTGTTGGTCCCCTATTGCATGTAAAAACTCTCACATTCACAATTCTGTGAATGTTTGTTATCACGGAAAGATGAACTCTATTAAAAATCAGAAAAATATTTAGTATGAGTATTTGCTCTAGTTTTTAGCTCATGAATGCCCTAGAAGACACAATTCTGGACAGATTTTTTTCATACTTGTGATTGTTACTCTACTGCTAAATAATTTTTTCAAAATCAAATCTGTCAGTGGGGGTATATTATCTTGCCTTGCAAACTATCTTTCTTTAACATTATGTCTGAATTTCAGATGTCTGTACCAACTAAAATTGCGAGACCAGCTCTCCAGAATTTAAATGACAACAGATTAAGGAAACATTTTTTAATATCTGGTGTAGCAGCAGTAGTAAGTGGTTTGGCTTATGTTGTTTTTGTTGAACGAAGACGTATGATTACTTTTCAAAAATGGATTGAGTAAGTACTAGTTATAATCCTGTTTGTAATCTTATGTTTTTTTTCATAATATCTGTAGTTAATTCTAGATTGAGTTTGTAATGGACCAGTTAGCAAGGAATTCTGTGATGCTGTCATAGAACAACTCTTGTCTTAGAGCTCAGTCTCCAGTCTATTTGCTTTGAGTGTATGTTTGATTGCTTTAGTAAATTTATGTTTTTGCTCATTAAGAATAACAATAATAATAAGATGTTTGGTCAAGGACTAGCTTTTTCTTGTCAACCTGTATGTTTATCTCTGTGAAAATTGTGGTTTCTTTCTTCCTTCCATTTCAGTAATTATGATGATAAGAAAGACTACGAAAGATTAAAGAGACATCATGTATTTAGAAGTATAGATAATAATGGAAAAATACGATTTGCAACTTGGGAATAAAGTAGGTGTTTTCTTAAAACCAAGGCTTGAAATAGCTCTAGAAATTGGGCTGGACATATTGTCCGTCACAATTCGATTTGTGTCAGATATTTGAAACTTTGCACCAGACATATTTTCAATTGAAATATTGCATTTAAAACCATGTAGTTGGCAGTTTTCTCACCTGCAATACATATATACTACCTAAGAATATTTCATGTAATTCAAATACAGATAATTTATATACCTGATGCCTTTGCGGGAACAATGAAGCTGTAAAAATGTATCAAAGTGGGATTTGACATAATAATGATATATACATGTAGTATCATATAAAATTATTATAATATTAAGGGGAGAGGCTAGTCCAAAATGAAGAATTTCAGTGAAAAATTTAATTTTGTAATTTTGACACGATCTTTTCAACAAGAAAACATATTTTTTTCAAAGATTTTGTAAATTCAGGACATTAGATGCATCATATGAATAGAAGGTTTGAAAGTATTGACAAATTTTGAGAGAAAGTGAGATTCCTATAAAATAATCATGTTTTTTTTTCATTTCAGTTATTAGACTGTTCAAAGAAGATCCTGAATATTTATAGTGAGAATGTCATATTGAATAACATTAAAATTTTGTTATAAGAAGTCTGTTTAGTATTTATATTTAATTGTTTTCAAAGAAATAGACCTAAATGCTTAGCTTAAATGTTTATATACATGAATCAAAGTTTTATCTTGGAAGTGTCAATTTCCAGAACTGGCTTCATCTTGCCTGGGGCACAGACCTGTTGCACAAGAACATGTCTTCGTCTGTGTAGAGACAAACACGTGAAGTCCATTTTATTTTAAGATAGCATAAATGCTAATGAACATATGAAAGGCTGTGCACCTGAAATATAATGGACTGTCCATGTTTATGAATCAACATGTAAGTGGATGTGGACACATATTTTCTCCATTGATATTTCATCTGTTTTATTGAGCAACTATATTTTGCAATTCTGTTGATTTATTAGCTGCCAGATTGACTTATTGGAGTTGTTGCCCTTTATAGGTTTTGGAGCAAGCTTATACTTCCCAGAACTTTTATGTATTTTGGATGGGGAAATTGGGCGTCTGAGAAGTTTTTTAGATTTACCCCTTCTATGACACAATTATTATCTCATATTCCAGAATTATCAGAAATAAGAAGTAGACCCTGCCATGTCCGCCCACAATTACTTGTAAACACTCTAGGAGGCACAATTCTTGACAGATTACGATGAAACTTGGTGTTTGTATTTGTTATCAACCAAGGATGAACCCTATTGAAAATCAGAATAGAAATATATATAGTATGAGTTATTACCCTTGTTCTTGAAAACACGTTGATTATTTAGCTCGTAAACACTCTAGAATGCACATTTTTGACAGATTTTGACGAAACTTGGTGTGAGTGTTATCACGCAAGAATGAGTGTTATCACGCAAGAATGAACCCTATTGAAAATCAGAAAATCTAAAAATATTAAGTATGAGTTGTTATTGCCCTTGTTCTTGAAATTTTTTGCTCGTAAACACTTTAGAAAGCACAATTCATGACGGATTTTGACGAAACTTGGTATGAGTGCAATTGTTTTTGAAAACGCGTTTGATTTTTAGATCGTTGACACTTAAAGGCGTGATTCTTGATGGATTTCGACAAAACTTAGTATAATTATTCAGTATCGCCTCAAAAATTGCCTCAAAAATTCAAAAATGTACGACTGAAGGTTGAATATTTCATACTGGTGATTTTAACTAAAGGCCTACTGCCTGATTGAGACAACTACGTGCACATCCTTTTACATCATTTCTCCAATAAACCCAATAATAAATTGTTTGTTTCGCCTGAAGAGAACTATATCTTTTCACACGGAGATGTGATCTGATCAACCAACCAACCAACATCAACACTCTTGTCATATACCAGTTTTTAACACAATCTTTCCATTCCCCACCCTATACAATACCATTGGAAGTTACCAGTTCTACTTGAGATGAGATGAGATGGTACACTTGTGGTTTGTACATTGTAACTTTCACCCAATGAGATTTGAGATAGTAATATCGAGCTATCCAGGAAAATACAAATGATTCCGTAATCAACAATAGATGGTGGACTGCTGCAAAAAACAGAAGAGAAAACACATGAACTATCAAGAGTCATTTGAGCAAATCTTAACTAACCTGTCTGTTTTACCATCAAAGCCAGTGACATTTGACTTGCCTGATAATAAATATATTTAATAATACTTATGTATTTAGTTAATTATTTTCATACGCCCCCATCAAATGTGGAGCGTATATTGCGTCCCCCATGCCCGTTCGTTAGTTCGTCAACAATTGCTCGTAAACACTCTAGAAGGCACAATTCTCGACAGATTTTGACTGTGAGTGAGTGTTTGTTATCACCCACGGATGAGCCCTATTCAGAAAATCGAAAAAATATGTAGTATGAGTTATTGCCATTGTTCTTGAAAACACGTTCAATTTTTAGCTCATTAACACTACAGGGCCCAATTGTTGACAGATTTTGACGAAACTTGATCATATACAGTATCGCACCAAAAAAGTTCAAAAGAAGTGAAAGACTGAAGGTTGAATATGTCATACTGGTAATTGTTACTGTAGTGCCAAATATTTTTATTTAAAATCAAAGCTGCCAGTGGGCGTATATTACCTTGTCGGGCAAGCTATCTATTGGTAATACCCTTTAAACATTTGACTTCAAATTTGGCTGATTTTAAAGTTTTCTGTATTGTGTTATCTTTATTGTTCTTGAAATTGCGGATTAGTAACTGATAGAAACCTACCATTGCCTTTAATTCGAGAAGAAAGAACCCCATCACATTCTGGACGGTTAAATGAGGCTAAAATACTAAATATGATAGACTGTAGGTTCATAAACACCATTGTTAGTTCAAAACACAAGAATTTAGGTTTAATGTGTAAATGTTTTAAATGTTGAAGATCTATATATCAACATTAAACCATAGATACCAACCAATGATGATAAAGCATTTAAACACATCACGTACACTGCTGACGTATCCTTGGATATCTGGAAATAACAGATTACATTCCAACTATTTCAACCAAATGCATGAGATTACTGTTCCAAGAGCAGTTGAGTTTGAGAAATCCACCACTATGCAATCATTGTTCCTAATTTTGTCATGCTTTAGACGTGATTTTTGGTTAACGAATTAGTATTGCTTGTACGTATTTGTATAGGAACAATAAGGAAACATACCATAGATCTTGACTTCAGGTCAAGCTGTCAATCTTTCGCAAAATATTACTTACATATCCTTTAATATATAAACCTTCAGTCCACAGATTAGCAGCAACGTATAATAAGATGGGTCTGATTAAAGCTCCTTGTAGAATCAACCAATGAATCTTTGCCAAATTTCTCCCGAAACATACAAGTGGAACACTCAATTGCTAATATCCATGAATCCTAAGCATACCTATAAAATGTTTGTAGGACAGAATAAAGAGAATAAAGATAGTGGACCACAGCCATATACGCCCATCACGGCATCCGGATGGTCAAAACATCCATTTTAAGTTTCATGAAAATCGGTTGAAAACTAAGACAGAAATAGCATATTCAAGATTTTGGGGCAAGGGAAATAACTCTGCTTCTAACGGTCGAAAACAGCTCAAATTCGAACTTGATCTTCGTTTTATGAATATGTATACACATGCCGGATTTCATTTGATTCCATCAAAAAATCTAGTTTTTAGAGCGTTTACAAGCAAATGTTGACGGACGGACAGGGGTGCCGACAATATACGTCAACATAGAGAGATGTTGGCGTATAAAAATGAGTACAAGCAAAACATTTCCGTCAATCAAACATCGGGAGTAAAGGTAGTATACTACTGAAATCAATGTTGCAACTGTTCATCGACTTGGTCATAGGTTGGGTACAACACGAAATTCTCCAAAACATAATAATAAATCAATTAATGTACAATACCTAGTGACGTTAATTTTAGGGCACATAAAACAACACCTAGCAAAGGGCGGCCTGTTTAACTGTATTTTCTCATTCTTCATTTCATTTAAAAAGTTGTCTTCACCTTCGTAATATAACATGATTAATTTATAGAATCTATGAATGGCTATAGCCAGGAAGCTGAAATAATTAACATTAACATAAAATTAACCCATGCACAGCACTGGACTATGTTTTTATCTATACATTACAAACCTTCGAAAGGATATCATTTTTACATGAAACACGACCCTAAGATAAAAGAATGTATTTCTGAAGAACCACATCATAGTTTTCGTGGATCACGGTCCCAATATTTTGCATGGAGTGCTTGACAGCTCAGCTGTTTCCAATTCTATTAACGATTAATTTAAATGATCACAGCTTCATTGTTTCAATGTATCAAAACTCAAATGATCTTCCAATTGATCAAATTGTTTCCACGAATCCCATGTGGTATATTCTACTAAGAAAACACTAACCTTGAAGCAACAAATTCATTTAAGATATAAGATCTTGGAATAACAATAGACAGGAGGGAGGTTACACTGATCATCTAAAAAAAGAATAATGTTAATTAAAACATACTTAGACAGTAGTCCTTTGTTGTTTTAGGCCATTATTTCAAAGAATGTACTGTTTTTGTGAACACCTACTCACAACTTCCAAAAACTGTACTTTCTTTGACCTAAGAATGTACGGTTTTTGGAAAAAATAGTACATTATTAAACTTAAAAAAGAACAGATTTTCAGATAACTAGAACAAACATATTATTGCAATTTTTGAAGCAATACTACAGTCAAATGAATCAAAATTTCATGGACAAATTCATTCCTGGCATTGAAAGTTTGAACTCTCTGAGTTCCTTATGTTCTTTGTCACTGGTTTCCTCATTAACGCAACGATCTTGCTTAAATTTAGTTGGGCTTGTATCCACCAATTCTTCCAATTGATGTTTTTTGGAACCACTATGCAATACTGAACTCACAGAGGCTTGCTGGGCATCACTTGTTCTTTTATATGCTCGTACAGCATTAGATCGGTGTCCAGTCTTTTCAGTGATCAATTGCTCGTCCACTCCAGCTTGATATAAACGAGTTGCAGCTGTGGCACGAAGGGAATGATTACTAAAGTTTCCAATTATACCAGCCGACTGACATAAACGTTTAACCGTGGACTGTATGGTATGAATTCCTACAGGAGAATCACAGTACCAAACATCAGAGCATGGCATCTTCTTGGGACGCAGATAAAATGCATCTACTGTACCGTTTTTTGGACGCAGAGCTATATACTTTTCATATAATCTAACTGGACATCTTAATGGGTTAGAATTTTCATAAGCTCTTGTCATTTTAGGACTGACTTTCCTGTAATCTAAACCACCTTGGTTTGTCTTTGAAACATCTTCTATGTACTGCAGATATTTTTTACCTTCTAAGTCATACTTAACAGACAATTGAGTGTTCATACCAAACCTTAGATTCCTGTGTTCTTGAGCAGCTCGCAGTGCAAAATGTAATCCAAACAAGAAAAGAAGAGTATCCAATAACTGCTGTGGGTTACTTTCACCTAACAAGCCTTTACTCCATAAAATCTCTTCTTGTTCTACTGTAATAACTTCTGACTTCTTGGTATTAATACCCAGTCCAAGTCTCGACAACTCCTTCATTTTACTGAACACTTCTTAAACCCTGATATTCTTGATCATCCATAAAGGCTATTAAACGTCCATTCTGACGAAGGTAGTGCTGTATTAATATAAAAATCTCATACAAAGTATTTGGTTTATAATTATCACCGGATTCCTTACGCACTTCAGCTATAAAAAAGGAAAGTGCCTCATTCAATTCTTGATAGGAAAGATTAAATAAACCTTTTTCTTCAGAGTTATTATTGTTTCTGTGTTCTTCCACATACTAAACAAATTAACTGCCCATCTAGTTTTATTTTCAGTTTTAATACTAAGACCACTTTTAACCAAATTCTTTAGATCAGAATCGTCCAGGGGCTTGGAAAACCTCAGTGAAGTCTTGGCATTTTCTGGCAAATTTGGTGTTTCAACATCGCTTATATCAGAGTACTTCAAATCAAAGTTTGGTAACTGTATGGCTTCTTTTACATAATTTTCCTCCAATTCAGAGCATCACTAAGAACAGTATCCGTTTCTAAATTATAATCATCTAT